TCAAAGTCCAATCCCATTGTTGTGTTTGCCCTTGATCTAATGTCCACATATGAGGGAGAACATATGATTTTTGGTCTTTTGGGCCAGGCTAACCTGCAAGTGTGCAAATTGACTAATCTTTCTGATCTCAGCTTCTGGGATAGAATCTGGAGCTCTCAGACATACCTCCCAGAATTGTCATTTGGAAACCCCATGAGCACTTTGAAATTGCTTCCAATTAAATATGAAATGTGTAGGTTGAATAATAAGTAGATTAGAATGCTAATCAGTGTAGGCAACTTTATGTTTTATGAAAGTGAGCAAGGCTTTGGTGAGGAATTTTTCTAGAAGGCCGTCAGATTGACACCAATAAATCAGAAGTATTCCAGCTAATGGCTGTTACTGGGGCAAAAACTTCAATAACATGCATGAGGTATTGATTTCTCTTACTAGGGATAAGTACATTTTAAGAGATGTTTAATAGATTCTGAGTGCCAAAGATTGTAAATATTGAAACTTCTGTAGACTTATCTACATGCTACCAAACACAGCCTTGGTCTTCTGAGAGATGAGAAGGCACAGATAATGGTTTGAAGAAGTTTGCTATATTTCTGACCATTGCAAAAAAAAAAAAAAGCCTCAAATTCGGGTAGAAGTTCTAGAACACATTGCAAGCCAATTTTCCCCAATCCTTGACAGTCATCTCAATTGAGTAAGGAACTGTTGTTTGCTTTCAATGACCCCCTTTTGTTTGTCTTGCTTTCTCCTGTCGTGAAGACATCTATTCAAATAGTTAAACCAACAGGTGGCCTGTCTAGGTGAGGGTAGCCTTCTCCTCCATGGTTTTGCTTTCTATCATCTCATTTACCTGTGTTCAACCATTATCTGAGAATATAAATTTGAAAATTGATAATTGAAAACTTTTAATGAACAGTTCTTAAGTTTTAAAAGAGTTTAATTATGGCATATCATCATAATTGTTGTACTTTGTCCCTAATGTTATTAATGTCTTCCTGTGTCTATGATTAAACTTCCTCATAGGTGTGTGCAACAGAAAAACCTAGTGTATACTGGGTTTGGTACTGTCCAGAGTTTCAGGCACCCGTGGAACATCTTAGAATGAGCCCCCTGTGGTTAAGGGACTACTGTGTATTATTTTATGCTTGTTTTGTAAACAAGGCCAGTTCTGGCTTTCCTTCAACAATGAGTGAGCACAAATAGCTTTCTGTTTCAGAGGAAGAAGGGGCTGGAGAAGGCAGTTATACTGTTGGTTGGGTTTGAGGCAGGTATTATATGCACTTGAACTAGTCTTTGATCGAGATTTTTAAGATGTTTCTATATGTCTTTCAGGTGGTCTCAGCCCACATGTGCACCTGAGGCTGTTCATTTGTAACAGCGACTGCTGATCTCACTAGCTTCTTTGTGGTTTCAGTGATTGTAGTGGATACCATACTGGCTGGTGATGTTGCCTTTGCCTGTATATAAGATTAGACGGTTGTAGGCTCTGAGGTCTGCTTTCTTTGAGACTTTGGATGTATCTATTATGTTCTTTCCTGAAGTGTTCCACATTTCAAATTGGATAGCCTTATTTAATATTATACAAAGTCATGGTTCTTCAGAGCTTAGAACTGTTAGATGCCAGTATAAGAAGATGAAATTAAGGCCTTGGGACAGTTACTGGACCAAGTCCAGAACACACGCTACCTCTCCTTATTTCATTGGGATGAGCCAGGGGGCTTACATGAGAGGATAAAGTAGCAAGGTATAAAGGCATAGTGGAACAAGCACATGCTTTGCACTGCCAGCCCTGGTGTTACCACTTCATTATCTCCAAGTTTCTCAATCTCTCCAAGCCTGCTCCTTATTTGGGAAAGGGGATTAATACTTCACAGGTTGTTGTGAAGAGTAAGTGGCTATTCAATATGGGTATCTGGGCCTGTGCAGTGACTTACATGACATGTGTGGTGACTTGAGTCAGTGTCCAGCATAGGAGCTGTCCCCATCTTAAGGTCAGCCCCAGGTGCCTGATCCCCCCACCCAGGGGAAACTCAGGTGCTCCAGCAGTTCTTACCTTAGTGCCTAGTGCAGGACTGCTGCTCTTCAGCCTGCCCTTGGTAGTTGATGGGGGGTAGAGAGGAGGGAGATGTGACTGTGTCATCTGCTCTATTGACAGCTATCTATCACACCTGTGAGGCCTCCAACTTCCAGTGCCATAATGGGCACTGCATCCCGCAGCGGTGGGCGTGTGACGGTGACACAGACTGTCAGGATGGTTCTGATGAGGATCCAGTCAACTGTGGTAAATGCAAATGTCCTGGTCCCCCATTGGAGCTTCCCCAGGATCTGCTGCTAGGAAGAAGTTGCAGCTGGATCTAGAAATGAAATCCTTTTCTGCTGTGCCCTGTCAACATTGATGAGTCCACCCACTCTCTTGTGTAGTGCCTTGTGATATATTTGGGTGTATTAGCTAGTCTGAATTATTAGGTACAGTTTCCCTCAGACACAAGCAAAATGTGTAAAATGCCACCACACCACAAAATATATAAACTACTTTTTATATTTTAAATATTTAAATATTTTTAGGGTTGTCTGACCTTATCCTTTTGTCAAAATTCCAGATTTTCTTAGGGTTGCAGTTGTCTATATTTCATTGTCCATTCCAGTCCTTTCACATTACAAAATTTAAGAAAGATGTTTTCATATACCTGTATTTTCTATAGTGAGCATTTTTATGAAAAACGTGTATTCACTCTGTATGAATTACCATTACCTAGTTCACTGAGTCAAGTGCTGGCTGGGCATTTCAGGGATTTCTGTTTTATATTGTTAAGCTAGCATAACTCCTTACGACTTTAGAAATGAAGGCTTGTGTTATCCTTCAAGATATTTCCTGGAATCCATTCCACAATATGAAATTGTAGGGTCAGACATTCTGGTTGGTTCTCATGGTTCTTTTCATGTGTTTCTGGATCCCATTCCCAAGGGACTATATGAAATGCATCTCCACCAGTCACATTCTGTGTGCTCCCTCTCCTCCCTTGATACCAGATTTTAGTCATTCTCACTAATTTCATGTGTGTGTCTCTTAAGATTTTAATTTACAAAAACTTTTTGAAAACTCTTTTTTTTTTTTACTTAGTGTCATTAAGCATTTCCCCAAGTCGTGGAACTCATTTATCTTTTCTCTTTCTATGTGATATCCTTTGCTAATTTCCTAAGAGTGATGACTTTTTATAGGATTAAAGCACATTTTCTTGCCTTATATCTAATCCTTGTGGAAGTCTGCCAAGCACTGGGTTATAAGGGCTTTGCCTGCCCTGGTTGACTGAGTTTTAAGTCTAATGTCTAGCTCAAGAGAGGGGGTGACCTAGGCTCCAGAGCTAAGCCTCAAGACACCTTAGCTCTAGTTTCATTTTCCCTGGAACTGGTTATGAAACCTTGGGCTCTTAACATTTCTAGGCAGACATTCTCCCAAAGGGCTTTGTGCTGGAGTTCCTGAAGAATTAAGGTGGCAAGTGGGTTAAAGAGCTGTAAAAACTAGGATCTCATAATCAGGACTCATGCCCTCCTTTTTCCAATTCACTGAAGCTTTCCTTTTTCTTCTATTAATTTTTAATAAGTGCATTCACCTGGCTCAAAATGGAAAAAAGTAGAAAAAGGCTCACAGTAACAGTTGCTCTCCCTATCTGCACAGTTCCCTTCATGGCCCCATTGGACACTATATTTAATGTCCTTTCAGATTGTCTTGTACACATGCAGTCTTACGCTTCATAACTGCACACAGTGATGGGTCACATTTACAATGGTGGTCCCATAGGATTGTAATGGAACTGAAAAGTTTCTCTCAGGTAATGACATTGTAGCCTTCCTCAGGTCACGGTGTAGACCATTACGCATGTGTTTGTGGTGATGCTGTTGTAAACAGACCTACCATGCTGCCAGTTGTAAAAGAGAATAGCACATACAATCACGGATAGTACATAATACTTGATAATGAATAACTGCTGTTACTGCACTTTCATCACCGTCATAGACTCCTACTTAGTAATTGAGACTGAACTCTAAAAGAGTCTGCCTCATTACATCTCAGCGTCCTGCAGCCTCATCTTATGTTTACCTCATCTCTTAACTGAATCAAGAGCACCTTAAGTCATGTGCACCATACAATCTGGGTCTGTGAGAGTCACATGGTGACAAAATCAACTGACAGTGCATTATGTATCCTGTCTTTAAGTGATGCTTGAGTGTATATACAAATTGAAGTATTCTCTATCTTTGTCCTATTTTATACAGATACTGTGCATGTTATTTTGCACCTATTTTTCACATAGCTGTATATCTGGTACAGAATTTTTCACAGGGCTCTTCGTCCATCTCTTTATAGCTATTTAGTGTCCCAGATACAATATTTGTTGAATAGTTCTCTAATGATGGACATGTAGGTGGTTTTTGATTTATTACAAAGTGTTACAATTTAATACTTATACTTACATTAAGTACAGGTTGTAATCTTGTACTGACATGAATTTTCAATTGTGTAAGTACAACACATTTCTATATTGGAATTTCTGGGTCATACTATATACACAATTATAATTTCTGTTAGCTATTGATAAGTTGTCCTAGGGTTGGTACAAAAATGTATACCCTGCCAACAGCCTGTGTGAGTGCTTTCTTGTTTCTTCTTCATCATTCTTTTTTATTATTGAATTAAATTTCAGAGAAGAAGTGCAATGGGTTTCGCTGCCCGAATGGCACTTGCATCCCATCCAGCAAACATTGTGATGGTCTACATGACTGCTCGGACGGCTCAGATGAACAACACTGTGGTGAGTCCACTCCCCAGTGAAGAGCGTCTGTTGGACCAAATCCTTTCATTTCTTCCCTACCTTTTTGGGAGTAGCTTTTAACCTGTTGACTCTTTTGTGATAGCCAGGACTAAGAGGCCAGTCAGGCAGGGAGATAGAGTAGAGGGAAGTGGGAGAGATGGGGGTGACTGTGGGATTAGTTGTCACCTGGGTGAATGTGATCATTTCCTAGCCATGTGTACTATGAATCGGCCAATTGTCTTTGACTGGACACTCACTTCTACTTGATTGCTTTTGTTAGTGTTGTTATTATCACTTAGGAAACATTTTTAGGTCAGGAAACCCTTTCTGTCCCATTGTCTTTAGACCTAGAAAGACTGTCTTGGATCAGTGGTGTGCATCTTTGTTGTACATTAGAATCACCTGGGACACTTTCAAGGCTACAGTTGCCTAGGCCTCAGCCCCAGACATGCTCAGTTAATTAGTCCCGAGATGGGTAAGGTGTTGAGATTTTTTTTTTTAACCATGTTCCAGGAGATTCTCAGGTGGAGTCTGGGTCCAGAGATAATGTGTTAGTGTAGGGTTGGGGGTGTGCGTGGCATCAAACTGGCCTGTGGGCAAGATTTAGCCCAAAACCAGTTGTTTTAAGTTAAGTTGTATTCGAATACAGCAGCTGCCCTTTGCTTACATGTTGAATATGGCAGTCCTCATGTTGTAGTGATGAGGTTGAGTGGCTGTAACAGGCTGTATGTTAGGCTTTACAGGAGCTTGTGCTCTCTGATTGCATTAGTTGGGGCTCTCCAGGTAAACAAAACCAATACGATAGGCAGGAGAGAAAGAGGGAGAGGAATTGACTCATGTGATTAGAGAGGCTGGCACATCTAAAATCTATAGAGTGGGCTAGCAAGCTGGAGACCCAGGGACATGTCCCAGGACTACCTGACTGGAGAGCTGGGAGAGATCCAGTTGTAGTTCACATCCATGTTCTTGTCGTGTGCCCACATGGCCTTTTCTCTCTGCATGCATCCCCAGTGTCTCTTCTTATAGGAACACTTACCTTGTTGGGTTAGGACCCCACCCTTAGGACTTCATTTAAGAGAAGTAACCTTATTAACTTTTTTAAAGGTCCTAGCTCCAAATACAGTCACATTGGGACTTAAGGCTTCAACATAGGAATGGGGGGTGGGGCACATTTCACTCCATCACACTGATCCCTTGCAGAAAAAGTTCACTCACCATTATATTAGAGAGTCAGTACCATATCAATATTAGTTAAGATCATGGACTTTGATGCCAGGCAGCTCTGGATTTAAGTTTTGGCTTCTTCATTAACCTTGTCTCTTGGCACAGTGCTTAATGCGGGTACCCATCTTCTCATTTTATAAACAGAGACAGTAAAATCTCTTAAGATGTCTCGAGGGCTTACTGATGCACTTTATGTCAGGTGTTTTAGCTTTGAACCTGGCACAAAGTGAGTGCTCCATCCATGTGGCTTTTATTGTTATTTCCTGAATGCACATCGGTCCACATGCCTTTGTATAGCGGGTGCTCATGACTCTCTGTCCTCATGCTGCCTTTCAGAACCCCTCTGTACTCGCTTCATGGACTTCGTGTGTAAGAACCGCCAGCAGTGCCTGTTCCACTCCATGGTGTGTGATGGGATCATCCAGTGCCGTGATGGCTCAGACGAGGATGCTGTGTTTGCAGGATGCTGTGAGTGGGCAGACTGGGAGGTGGCTCATGGTCACAGGGTTTGGCCATCCTGGGGTGTATCTCCATCTAAGTTATAGGTTTTTACTAAGTACCCAAGTTCCCTTTTCTGAGTCATCTCTCTTAGGAAGTGCTGCTTTGGCAGGGCGCCATGTCTCATACCTATAATCTCAGCTACTCAGGAAGTGGAGTTAGGAGGATCGAGGTTCAAGTCAGGTGTGGTGATGCATACCTGTAATCCCAACTACTCCAGAGGCTGAGCCAGAAGCAGCACAGTTCCAGGCTAGCCCAGGCAAAGTTATCTCACAATACAATGTTAAAACAAAAGACCTAGAGGCACAGGTCAAAGGACTGCTGCCTTGTAGCTGTTAGCTAGGGAATGACTATGATCTTGACTGAAGCGTCACCTTATGTGGGGTCCTGCCTCCCAGTCTTCACTGCATAGCTGATCTCTCTGTAGCCCCCAAATTCTTGGGTTTAAATGCTATTCCCACTTTAGCCTCCCAGGTAGTAGGGGATTTTTCTTCTTCCAAGGACACCAGTCATACTGCATTAGGACCCATCTCCATGACTTCATTGTAACTCTTTAAAAACATTATCTCCAAAACAGACTTATATGTTTGAAGTCCAGGGGTTAGGACTCCATCCTGTGAATTTGGGCGGGACGGGGGATAGACTCAGTCTATAACATACTCAGTAAAGGCTTGTAGAATGCACTAATTTTCAGTATGTGTGCTCTTGTAAGATAAGACTTGGCTTTGGCTCTCAAGGAATCTTTTTAGCTCGACAGCCTTTCAGCAGAGGGTTTGACCCCCTCTTGCTTCTTGCTCTGACCTCCGCAGCACAGAAGTAATCTGGGCTTCGTGGATGTTTGTTCCTTTTGCAGCCCAAGACCCGGAGTTCCACAAGGTGTGTGATGAGTTCGGTTTCCAGTGTCAGAATGGCGTATGCATCAGTTTGATTTGGAAATGTGATGGGATGGATGATTGTGGCGACTACTCTGATGAAGCCAACTGTGGTGAGAAGATTATAGATCTGCTTCCTGCATCTCAGCCCTCCAGTTACAGTTACAGGGATCCCTAAGTTAGGGAGAGGACACTCACCAGCCTCTCACCTGCAGACTTGCCTTCCCCTTCCTCAGCAGCAGCTGCTGTCATCTCTTGAATCACCACATGAAGAATCGAATGAGGTCAGGCATGGTGGCTCATGCTTGTAATCCTAGCTACTTGGGAGATGAGGTTGAGAGGATTGTATATTGAGGCCAGCTAGGGCAAAAAGTTAGTGAGACCGCATTGCAACCAATGGCTGGATGCAGTGGTAGGAAGCACAAATAGGAAGATAAAAGTCCAGGCTGCCTAGGAGTAAAGGGAGACACTATCTCGAAATGGACTGAGGGCATGGTTCAAGTCCACCTGCTTAGTAAGTGAGAGGCCCTGAGTTCGAACCCAGTACCACCAAAGTAGAAATAAATAGGATGAAGTGGGAACCTGGTAGCTGCTAGGGACTAGGGAAATGAGTATTCCATTCCCTTTCCCCAGCTGGGAGGGTCACATAATGAAGAGTATGGTGGGAAAGGATGGCAGTAGGTGTTATGAAGGGTACTCTCCTTCTAAAAATTACAGACCACAGTATCACTATCTGTCTATCATCAGTAGTTAGGCTATTCCTTTGGTAAAATGTTGTAATTAAAACTCGGTAATCATTTTCAGGATACCAAAATGTAGGTTAGAGAAACATGAGTTAGGGGTTGGAAGACGAGGTGCCATTGAGTTTGTGGGTGTGATTTGTGGCCTTTTAAGTTCATGAGGCTGTCCTATCTTCTCTGGAAGGGAAGCATAAGTGGTCCTGGACTTGAGGATGGGTGGGGTTTTGTGTTTACACTGGTATAAGGGAAATGACTGATGGTATGGTTGATCTCCACAGAAAACCCCACAGAAGCCCCAAACTGCTCCCGCTACTTCCAGTTCCGGTGTGAGAATGGCCACTGCATCCCCAACAGGTGGAAATGTGACAGGGAGAATGACTGTGGGGACTGGTCAGATGAGAAGGATTGTGGAGGTGAGAGCCCCCCCATGAGGTGGGCCAGCCTTATATTCAAGACTCACCAGGATGATTCTAACTCTAGAGTCTCACGCTGTCTTTGTAGTGCCTGGCTTATTTCTTACTGTGTCGGCTTTTTGGGGAAGGAGTGACCCTGAATTCTTCTGTGTCCCCCTTTTCTGGTTTCTGCTGTTTCCTGGGTTATACATTTTTAGTTTTGCACGGCTCAGTGAGAAGACTAGAGCCCTACCTGTCAAAGTGTGGTGTGCAGATTAGAGCACACATGGTTCCTTGAAGTTTCTTAGAAATGCAGACCCTCTGACCCCACCCCACACTACTGAGTGAGCATCTACACTTTTTAACATTAGGATATATTAGTTGTACAGAGGGGTTAACTGTCACATTTTCATATATGCTTACAATGGTTAGAAGTCATCCCCTCTGTCATTCTTCCTCACCCCCCTTTCCCCTACATAAACCAGTTTCAATAGGTTTTGTTATTCTATTTTCATACAAGTATATATAGTACATCCACCATATTCATCCCCCTTCACCCTCTCCATTCACCTGCCCCCTCCCACTAATACCCATCTCCTGACAGGACCTACTTTACAATCCTGTCCTTCATTTGTTATGTGTATATTCATTGTTCAGAGGGTTTTCAACGTGGTATTTTACCCACGAATATCTTGTACTGTAATCAGATTAACCCCTTCTGTTACTCTCCCTTACCTTGTTCCCCTTGCCCTTATTATTTAGCTGGTTTCAGTGTGTTTTGTTATGGTATCTTCCTATACAGATAAAATGTATTTCGATATTATTCACTCTATCACCTTTTTCCTCTATTTCCTCTCCCTAGTCCCCTCAAACAGTCCCACTATTACAGACATGTCCTCTCTCTGTATATGTATATGTGATCATGTTTGTATTTGTGTATACATTTATCTTTAGGCCTAGCTTCCACATATGAAGGAAAACATGAGACCTTTGTCCTTCTGAGCCTGGCTTACTTCACTTAACATGTTGACCTCCAGTTCCATCCATTTACCTGCAGATGGCATCATTTCATCCTTCTTGATGTCTGAATAATGCTTCATTACATATAGATCCCACGTTTTCTTAATCCATTCAGCAAGTGTAGGGCCTCTGAGCTGTTTCCGCAGCTTGGCTCGTGTAACTAGTACTCTAATAAACATGGTGGACCATCTGCATTTATGCAAGGTCTTCAGCTCCTGCATGTATGTGCTGGGATACATTTGAATGACACTGATGTGAAATGCGTACTTTCCATTTCCTTCTTGCCACTCTTATCTCCAAATCAGGTCTTGGGGTTAGTTGTAAAGAGTTCACTAGAGCAGCATTTGGTCTCTTGGTGATTCTCTAACTCCCCGGTGCCTTCCGACTCACCTGCTCCTGCCATCAGCTGTCAGGAGCCCCTGCAAAAGCAAACTCATGTGACTATTAGCCCATTTCAAGTGCTGTAGTGCGGTGAATCTGCTCAGCAGAAGGGAAAAGAACATTGTCTCTTCTGCTGCTGTTCAGCGCTGAGCCTGTGACTGGCCTCCCTTGAGTGATGCAGCTCAAATGGGGATACTTCCACTAGGTTTGGGACACATTTTGGTCGGAGATAAGGTTTCTAGTAACTCGTGGTTTCTTTGCTTGGTGTTCTTCTCAGATTCACACTTTCTTCCCTCCCCCACTCCTGGACCTTCCACGTGTCTGCCCAATTACTTCCGCTGCAGCAGCGGGGCCTGCGTGATGGACACCTGGGTGTGTGATGGCTACCGGGACTGTGCGGATGGCTCAGATGAGGAAGCCTGCCCCTCGACTGGTGAGCCCCTGCTTGCTCCATGACAACTGCTATTGTGGAGGGACATTCTGGGGTGCACCCTATACACAGAGACTTCCAGCACAGCTGCCTCAATCACAGGCCCATAGGAGCTGGAAACTGGAGTGTCCTACCTGGGCTTCCTGCCAGAAAAGGCTAGCACTTTGCTCCCCACCCTCGCTCACTTCCTTCTCGGTGGGAAATTGCAGTTGGGATGCTAGGGAGGTTTTTGTGTGTGTTTTAAACCCTCTGGGGAAAGGCCTAATTTTCCTGCTTGCTTGGTTGTCTGGCCTCTTCCTCTAAAAGGAAGGCAAGCACTGCCATCTAGTGGCTGGACACAGGCAGTTGAAGGTCTGCACAGCCACTGTTGCTGGAGGCAGGGTCATCTTGAGCCCTCATCTAGTTAGTGCGTGTCCTCTCCTGCAGGCAAAGCAGGGGTAAGGACGCTGCACTGTTTCCTAAGCAGGAGTTGGTCTCAGACTCACAAGAGGGGACCAGACTCTGGCTTCCCAGCTTTGCATGTCCTTTCCATACCGGGCTTCTAGGCAACAGACTCATTTTCCTTTTCTATGAGTGTTCGTCTTACTGTCTCTGTGTTCAGAATCACCAGTGGTTTCCTCTTGTCTTCTTGTCTAGAAGTCCAACTCTTGACTCTTAATTCCTACTTCTTTTTTTTTGAGACAAGGTCTCACTGTGTATCCCAGGCTGGCTTCAAACTTTCATTCCTTCTGCCTCATCCTCTCCGGTGCTGGGATCCCAGGTGTGCACCACCCACACCCGGCCCTTAGTTCCTATTTCCAAGGCCCTATGTGAGCTGACTTCTCCTTAAGAAACAAAGCTGGACTCTTCACCTGCTCTAGACAGACATGCTGTACACCTGCAGTAAGGTTTTGCTGTTCTCAGAAACTCCTGTTTCCTCCATGTCATCCTACTCTCCCTTCTGTGAACCCCACCATGCATCAAGGCAAACAGAAGGACGGATTTTATACCAAAGAAGCCTTGACATGTCATCTGTATTTCTCAGAGTATGGCACAAAGGCTGCCTGAAATGGGATCAGCTGTGTGTTTATAGATTACTTAGAGTCCAAATTTCTTAGTGAATTCCTGGAGATACGGTTCTTGGGTTCACCAAAGTTTGAGGTCCTTGCTTCAGACAAATGCAGCATGACTCTCCCTCTCAATCCCCGTCTCCACAGAACTCTCTCTGACTCCTTTAACTGCTGTGCAGCTCTTTTCCAGTCTCACTGAATTCTTAACTATGAGCTGCCTACAGGATTTCTTGTGTGTAGGTCTTTTCTGTCCGTAAAAGTTGTAGGGATCTTCTGCTTTGGGATCATGCTGAATGTTACTTTGAATCTTCTACTGTGTCTAACAAATTCTCGGTGCCCCAATAATTCTTCTCAAGTTATAATGAATTATAAAAAAGAACTCTGTTGTCTTTATTCTTTCCCCTCAAGGTTCATCTGTCCGTTGAATAACCAACTTCGTTGTTTTTCTCTGAAAATTGTTTTTGATTATTAAGACTCTGACCAGGACATTAACAAACTCTAGCAGTTCTGACTAATCCAGTGGGCAGATCCATAGTTAATATCTCATTCACTTTTTTGGGGGGTCGGGTGGAAAGTCCTGGAGTTTGAACTCAGGGCCTTGCCATTCTGAGGCAGGTACTCTACTACTCAACTCCTCATTTATTTACCTTTTATGCCTTCTTTTTTGTATACATTGGTGCAAATTTAAACTTGGTGTTGTGTCAAGCTCTCAGATCTTATTTCTCTAGTGTAGAAGTTTCCTAACTGGTTTTTCTGCCTCACATCTCTCCCCTTTTCAGCTTATCTTTTAGTACGATATTTGCTCATGCCCTCTTCCACTCTCGGGGCCTTCTGATACTTCCTTCTTTTCCAGGAACAGGTGGCATGGTCAGCCCCGGCCTAGCTGTCTAGCCTTGTTTGTTATTATTCTTCTCCATTTACTTTGTGTTTCTACAGAGTGGTTCTGGACTTTGAGGAAAGCCTCTAAAAATCAAGTTACAATCATGGAGCATGCACAATATCCAAAAGTTAATAGCTGCTCTTTCAGTTTATTTGCATGGGTGCTTTTGTACCACCTGCTCGTAATTTTTACCTTTCAGTATAATCTTCCACAAACTTTCCGGTGGTTTATCAGGCCTAGTTTTTCTCTCAGACCTATTCTCTCTAACAGCTTGGGTTCTCCTGTCTGGGCTGATTGTTCTGAGGCCTCCAATGCCTGTTCCCCAGGGACCTCCACTTCCTCCTTGGAGCTCCTTTCCCTTTCTCCCAGTTTACATTTCTTATTTCCTGGATCTTGTATTTCGCTTTTCTCAGTTCAGTTCCCTGATTTGCACTTCAGTAAACTTTCTCAGGGGAATTTGATGGTGCAGGATCAAAGACACAGTGACAGCAGCTTTCAGTGTGTGTGTTGCTTGAGTTTTGTTGCTCTGGTTTGTATCGGCTGCCCTTGATGCCTGGACACAGTTGTCTGGGATGTTGCTCTCCATCATCCTAGGACTCATTTCATCCCCTGCTTGTGTTGGAGTACCTGGTTTCTCTATCTCAGTTTCTCTCTTTTACTGCAATTTCATGGTTTGGTAGAGCACATTTTCTAGAAATTTCCTGGAAGAGGGTATATGGGAAGTCTATTTGAGGACTTGTCTGTCTTCAGATTTAATTGATAGTTGGGCTGGATTTTGAAGGCTATATTGTAAATCATTTTCCTTCAGAATTTTGAAGGTGTTGCTCTACTCTCTTTGAGTAGCTTTTGGGAAGTCCATGACTATTTTAATCTGATCTTTGTGTGTAACCTATTTTTAAATCTCTAGAAGCTCACCAGACTGTCCGCTTGGCTCCAGTGTGTTGAAATTCCACAGTGCTGTGATTTCGTGCATGTGGATTTCCATCCAGTGTGGTAGATACTCTTTGGCTCCTCTCTTCTGGAAGTTTATATTAGTCTGAGGAATTTTTTTAAATCCTTCATTCATGATATTTCCCTCAGAAACTCTTGTAATTCACTTATTGGGTTCCTGCTGTAATCATTTTGCTTTAAATTTTTTTCTGTATTTATTTATTTGGCATAAATAAATCATACATAGTAAGGGGTTCACATTGGCATTTCCATGCATACATAAAATGTACTTTGGCGTGCTCCTCCCTCTGTTACTCTTTCTTGTCTTCCCTCCCACTCCCCCTTTTCTCCTACCTTACATTTCCCTACTAGGTCCTTTTTATTTTCATGACCTTGGTTTTTTGTTTTGTTTTCCTCTAGCTTCCACAAATAAGAGAAAACATACAATATTGTCTTTGTGGGCCTAGTTATTTCAGATAACATAAATCTCCAGTTCCAACCATTTTCCAGCATAAGCCATTTCGGTCTTCCAAATGGCTGAGTAAACCCATTGTGTATATATACCACAGTTTTTGTACCCATTCATCCATCAGTGGCACCTAGGTGGTTCCATAGCTTGGGTGTTGTGAATAGTGCTGCAATAAACATGGGGGGAGGAGGTACATAAGATCTACAGTAAGCTGACTTTGATTCCTTTGGGTGTATACTCAGAAGTGGTTTGGCTGGATTATATGGGAGTTACCTTTTTTCTTTTTTCTTACATTCTGGAATATTTGTTTAACTTTATCTTCCAACTCTTCCTCTAAGTTTCTTCATTTCTATTATCCTTGTTTTATTTTATTTTATTTTTTATTTTTAGTACTGTTTCTTTTTAGGTATTCCATTCTTTTTGTCACAGATAACGTGTATATTCTTTCTTCCTGAGCATACTAAGGATGTTTGTTTTGAGGTGTTCTTGCAAAGTCCCTATTTCCTTCAGATGGCTTATAGGGGGATTTGTTTTTCTTTCTTTCATGGTAAAGCTTTTTCTCAGATCCTTCTTCACTGTTGCTTACATTTAAAACTGGGGACTAAAATGCTTCTAGGTGATTGTGAACACGTAGATGTGCTTGTCAACGTTATGCTTCAAGGCTAGGCTATTAGCTGGGTAAGTCTTGGCCTTGTTTACTGAAGGGTTATCTCTGAGGCCGACCACGTTCCCCATAGAAAATTGCTACAGTCTCCTGGTAGGCAGTAAGGATCTCATTGATGGGGCTCTTAAGAAGAGAGCTGGGTCTTGACATTTAACTGTCTATAGGTTTAATCCTCCTTTTACCAGTAGGATTTTCTTGCTCTCAACTGTGCCTGTCTAAACAGCTCTTCATTTTTATTCTGTTCATATCACAGCCTACCAGTCTTATATTGGAATGATGTATAGGGTGGTTGTCTTGTGGGCCTAGTAGGAGGAGAGGATTGAGAGACCTTAGCTGCTTTGTAAACATCTTTCAGTCAACTCTCTATCACCTGCTCCTCCACCCCCCATGCCCAAGGTCTGAGAGTTTCTGAGCCTTGTGAGGATTGTACAGTGTTGGACAGGTTAGTTCTAGCTTTCTCCTCTGCTAGCTTGGGGTAGAGGACAGCATCATCTGGGGTCCTTAGTTACCTCCCATCGTCTGCTATCCGTCTGTTTGCCTTCTAGCATCCCATGTGCTGTTGCTTCATTGTCTTTCCTGTTCTCCATGCCCTCATGGGCTTTGGTCTTTGGTGGGGTCTGGTGAGGAGCAAAGTGAGGTGTCAGTGTCCAGTCTGCTGTCTTTATCCTGAGCTCACGTGTCCTCAGGTCCCCACGGCTGTTCCTGAGGCAGTGCACTGTCCTAACACTGCTGTTTCTAAAACTGAATTTTGAAAACATTTTTTTCAGCAAATGTCACTGCTGCCTCCACTCCCACCCAGCTTGGGCGATGTGACCGATTTGAGTTCGAGTGCCACCAACCAAAGAAGTGCATCCCCAACTGGAAGCGCTGTGATGGCCACCAGGACTGCCAGGATGGCCAGGATGAGGCCAACTGCCGTGAGTAGTCAGAGGCCTTGCCCCCTAGAAGCTTGTCTGGCTTCCAGACAGCCAGACCCTGGTGTTGCACTGCTTCTCTGGAGCTGCCCACACCTGTGTGTGTGAGGCCTTGGGCGCGCTTCCAAGTAAGCATGTTTTCACTGCATTCTCCTCAGGGACTTTGCCACGTGGACTTACATCGTGTCGTATGATAGCGCCATCGTCTTACTTTCATTGAATTTTTTAGTAGGTACTAGGGTTTGGAACTCAAGGCCTTGTACTTGTTAGGAAGACACACTACCACCTAGCCTTTTTTTGCTTTAGTTTCATTTTAGGAGGACTTTTGCCTGGGGCCTGTCTCAGACCATGATCTTCCTATCCCTGCCTCCTGTGTAGCTGATATTACAGGCATGTGTCACTACACCTGGCTTATTTTCTGAGGCAGAATCTTAATAACATTGTTACCCAAGTTGACTTTGAACCACAATCCTCCTGTGTCTGCCTCCTGCATAGCTAGGATGTGACATTGGTTGTAATAAATTAACTGGGTATTAAATACCAGGAGCATGCTCACTGAAGATATTTTGTGAATGAATGAGAGAAATAGGTTTTTTGCTAAACACATTTAACTCCTAAAAATTCCTGTTGGTAAAGCCATGGCTCTCTGTACATGCCTTCCTTCTTTTGGAAGTATCTAGTGAGCATCTGTGAGTCACAGAGGATCTATTATTGAATAGATCACCTCCAGCACCCTAGTAAGAAATTCAGTCTTAGCTGTTAGGGTAATTCTTGCTTGGAGATATAATACTAAACCACACAGAGAACCTGAGCCCAGCATGAGGTGCCTTATGTACACGTCCTGAGTTTGCAGCTTGCAAGCATTATACGTCCTGGTGCCGGCTCCCATGACGCACCCAGGGAAGGTCCTTGGAGTAGGTGATGCAGTGAAACATTAACATTTGTGAGCTAGCGGCGGTCTACCGTGTCAGCTCCGTAGGGAAGTCCTCCTGAGTGACCCTCAGGAAATGGAGAAGAAAGCAGGCTGCCTGGCGATTAGAAAACAGAAGTGATTGTGTGCTTGGTCCTCTGCCATTCAATTAGCAACTTCTGGTCCCTGACTGTACTCCGAGGCCACCTCAGCCTGATGAGTACCACTTGGGGGTCTGTGGAGGGGGGTGGCTAGAGTGGTGCACTTTCTCTCCTAGTCACAGGGAGCTACTGGAGATTTTTGGGAGCTGATGTTTCTGTTCTAGGTCATTTGGCTATTTATGGTGTCAAAAGAATTAAAAGAGGAGGTGAGGTTGGAGGCCAGGGGCCAGTGAGGAGGCTCATGTGATGGGATGAGCAGGTGAAACAGGAGGGAGGCATCTTGGTATATGGAGGTGATAGTCACAGCAGTCATTGTGTCCTGGAGGTACAGCTCAGCAAGAAGGAATGAGGGCTGTTTTGGTGACCTCAGTGTGGATGTGGTCAGCTAAGGTGGGCTATGCAAAGAGTGAAGGTTTGCTGGGCTCCTCCACAAGGGACTTGGGGTTGGAGTGGGCTCGTGGACTGACATCAGAGTCTCAGGTGCTGTGAGGTGTGCTGGTGGAAGGAGAGAGGATGGTTAACCACTGGAGAAGCCTTTTTGTCCTTCTCGTGTCACAACACCAGATGTCCACACTCATCTCTCTGCTCACCTCTTAGCCAGTTTTCACACTTCCATGGTTCTTGTAACAAACAGTTCTTTACAGCCCTGAACTGTGGAGACAAATTTCACTAGGTCCTTTAGGCCTTGGTGTGCTGCTGAATCAAGAGAAAAATTGTCTTGGCCAAGTCCTTGGCTCAAAATGTTAAACTTACATATTTATAAAAACATACGGGATTTTTTCCTTACGTGTACTTGTTCTTTGGGGGTCATGAGACCCCACCCTTCATACTCCCTCTCTTCTCCATGCACACCATTTCTGCTTTTGTTTTGGTTGTCTCAAGGATCCTTTCTTGAGTTTCTTTGAGTTTTATAAGTTAATACCTAGGTTTTCTTTTTTTTAAAGAAATACCCTTTGACTTCTCTTACTTCAATTTGTAAGCCAGGGTGGTTTTGCTTGTTTTGTTTACTTAGTTCTTAGCTTAGGAAATTTTGTAAGGGATCCCATTACTAATCCCCTGGTTTCAGCAACCAGGAACTGAGTCATTTACATGCATGTTGGGATGAAACCCTTTCTGTCAGTTCCAGTACACTGGAACTCAGGTTTAGGTTCATTCTCTTATGTTTTTGTATTTGTGTTGTTAGTATGCCTGTCTCTTTGTTGTTCTTTTTGGCTCTGTTTTGTTTTTTTCTTTCTTTGCTTTATCATAAGCAATCCTTTTCAGGTTGCTTCACTTTGCTCTTTACATTTGCTGTTGTCATACTTTCTGAGCTTTTTCAGTGGCCCTATCCTGTTTAAAATGTCATTAATGGCTTGGATAAAAACTTGAAAGGCAAGTCATATTGGCAGGTAATATACAAAGTCAACAACATAGCTTGATTTTTGGTGAAATCATCAGGACCCAAAAGAGAAATTAACAATTGGTGGTGGATTTTAAGGAGTCACTCACTGTTCTCAAATAAATTATATATTTATTACACTGAATTCTCAAAATAACATTATGATTTTGGTATTGACTCCATTTTAGAGACAGGAAAACTAAGGTTCAAAGAAGCAGCAGGATTGGCATAGTTATTTAGGTCAAGTTACAACGATCTGTCCATCTTGCTACATTGAAAGTTCTTACAAGGTAAGAATACACCAAGCCTAACAGAGAAGTTACAGAAGAATTAGTGTAAAAGTCTATACTTACATGGAAAGAATGAACCAGTGGACATGGGACATTAAAATAACGGGGGTTGGGTAGGTTGATCCCATACTCACACTCACCAGAATGACAGTAGGAACATCTGAGCCAAGTAAGCTACCACAAAGTAAGGTGAATGTTAAAAATAATGAACAAATAAGAAATAGGACCTCCTTCCTCCTTCCTGCATTCTCCAGGTCAGTGTTTTTTAGCCTATTCCTGTCTTCCTCACACAGGTGTTTCTTAGTTACAGGGGTTGAAATCACAATGTGCTATATCCCCAATTTTCCTGAATCCTTTAATGTGATTGCTTTATCAGAAACAAAGGCAGTGGGTGTAGCGTGATTCTGAGAAGCTGGCCCTTGAAGGCCACTACATCCTGTGCTGAGTGCCTGTCAGTCATCTGTTTATTAATCAGTTTCAGAATTTTCAGAGGTTGATGACAGCCTTATTTCCAGATTTTAAAACCTGTGTTTTGTTGCTTTAAAAGTTTAAATATGTTTTATAAAGAAGACTCAAATGGTCTCTGTTTGTTTGCTCAGCTGTTGTTGGTCATATTTTCTCACACTGCCTCCCCCTCCTGTCCAACTCTGCATGTCTTCCTATCTAGGAGGATAACCCTAGGTCCTTCACCCAGTCCCCTTTACCCCCGCTCATTGCATTCATGTGAACATATTCCCGCTTCCCTCTGGCATCAGGAAGCGTGGCCCCCACTGGTGTATGCAGTGCTCCATGTAGAAGATGGTTACCTGTCTAGAGCACTTGCTCCAGAGCAGAGACTCTCAGCCCTGGCCACTTCTGAGGAGCCACATGGAGCTTATAAATAATGCATGTGGCCAGTTTTATGTTTCTGCCAGAGTGAACTTGGGGCAGGGCCCAGGAATCTGTGTTGTTTATAGGTTTCCCCAGAAAACTTATGAATCACTATTGTAAATTCTCTAGTCTTAGAGTACTATAATGGTTTAGCAGCCATCTCTTTGGTAATTGCTCCTAGTATCAGAATCCTGGAATAGAATTTTGAAGGTATGATTAAATGAATTTATTATATAAACTATTTTAGATCAAGGTTTATTTATGTTTTAAACCTGGGATTTGTGCCTGGTTTATACTATTTCATGAAATTACATAGTTATTGTATGGAAAATTGTGTGTATTAGCGCATGGATTTGAACAAGAGTTGGAAGGGGGTTTGCTCCTGAGTGTCCCAGAGGAAACATTACAGTTGGAGCTCAGGAACCCAACATAAGATCTGGGAGGTTTTTCCCTGGCCACTGTAATGAATTATCATAGATTTAATATTTTGAAACAATACAAATGTATTTTCTTGTAGTTCTGTGAGTCAGAAATGTGACCCAGGTGAGCTTTTTAAAAACTGAGGTTTGGAGGCAGGCTCTAGGGGAGAAATCTGCTCCATTGCTTTTCAGCATCAGGGGTGCTGTTCCTACACGCTCACAGCCTCCACCTCCACCCAAAGCTAGCAGAACCACATCTCTCTGACCCTCTTCTGTCTTCACATCTTTCTCTGACCACAGCAGGAGAAGGTCTCTGCTTTAAAGGACCCATGTGGTTAGATTGGGCCCACCTGGAAAATACAGCCCACCCTTCCTACATGAAGGTCCCAAATTTCATCACAACCTCTTTGCCATATAAGGTGACATATGAGCAGGTTCCAGGTATTATGATATGAAAGTCTTTGACTTGGAGGTACAAGGTTAACGTTCTTCACGTCAGCGTTGGGTCTGTGATGTAGCATTTCCTTGACCAGGTTTGGGCAGGCGTGACCCACCCCACTCTGGGGCAGCAGATTTGGTTTCTATAGTCACTTTCATCTTTCCTCTTCTTATGGTCATTTGAAATCACTGTTACCGCTTCATTTTAGAGTCTCCCATGCTGGAAAAGTCATCCACTCATGGCCTTGCCATAGAGTTATGTAGCTCTTAACTTACCACTACACTTTATTTTGCATTCTACTTTGCAAACTGGCACAAATAAAAATTCTGAGTAAAGTCAGCATGTTCCTTAACGTTGTTACGATTCATGTTGTTATTTGTATTCCTCAAACTAGAAATCAGACTAAACTAGGAGTGGCCCATATACTAGGAGTGGAATAGTTAGGACTGTAGAGTGAGAATTGCAACATGTTGATGCCAGACAGGAGCAAGACACTGTTGCAGGTTTCTGGTCTCATCAGATCTGTACAGACAACTAGTGATGGAATTGTTACCCCAGTTTTATATAGGGGAGCTGAACTTGGATAATAATAAGCAGCTTGCTCAAGCTCACACAGAATAAGGACTTAAACCCTAATCTGTTTGACTACAAAGCTCTCTTGCTCTTCCTGAAGGGAGATCTTGATTGCTAATGTTAAATCAGTTGGTACCACAGAGCCAGTGTCATTCTTTTCCTCATTCCAGAGGTATATTTTAAACACAAACCAGCTGGTTTAAAGAATTCAAACTATTTTTCCTAAATGTGAGTAAACCTAGGTCCAGTCTTTTGTATAACATGGCTCTTCCCCTCTGGGTCTAAGACGGTTTTTTGTGTTTCAGCTACACACAGCACCTTGACCTGTATGAGCAGGGAGTTCAAGTGTGAGGATGGCGAGGCCTGCATCGTGCTCTCAGAGCGGTGTGACGGCTTCCTGGACTGCTTGGATGAGAGCGACGAGAAGGCCTGCAGTGGTAAGTGCTGATCCCTCCCTGCTGGCTTAGCTGGGCTGGGTGGCCTATTTTCTGTAAGGATTTCTGGCTAAGACCCTTTTGAGCTTTTCCTCAATGTGAAAATGAAAAGGATTGGGGCTGCACATTGAAGTACCAAATGGGATGACACATGGCCCAACTCAGAGAACTTCCAGCCAGCACTTCCTTGGTAGTAAAACACTGGCATTAGATTTGTTTTTATCATACTTCCCACCTGTTGTTAATCCATGCTCCATTGCTGATTGGTGCACAGTTGCTCTCACAGAGCCTCAGACTGCTGGCGGAATGCGCTCGATCTTTCTGCCTGGAGTGCATTTAGTAATATATCCTACTCTGACATTGTCATTGAACTTGTTCTCTGTTGAGAATCAAGCTTAAATTGTTGTATGCAAGGAAGTGAAATACTTGTTGTATGCAAGGACTGGAAATTTAGAGGACCCTAGGAAAGGCTGTATGGGAGGGTTTCTGGGGTCTTTTCAGGTAATGGTTGTAGCCTTCTCACAACTTAGATTATGGTAGTTATGTCTAAAGTCAGGATCCTTTCAAGACTGGGGATTTATAAGACACAGCTTCCTCTGACTTCCCCCCCAGATGAGTTAACTGTATACAAAGTACAGAATCTTCAATGGACAGCGGACTTCTCTGGGGATGTAACTTTGACCTGGATGCGGCCCAAGAAAATGCCCTCTGCTTCTTGTGTGTATAATGTCTACTACAGGTGGGTCCCATGTTTGCCATGGTCCTCCCTGTGATGTGATGTCTCACAAATTCTCTTGTGATATACATGCATGGTATGGTTCTTCATTAGCTGGACAGTACATCTCAGCCACCCCATGCTGCTTTGCTGTGACAGTGTCTTTATTCCTTTGGCTAGGGTGGTTGGAGAGAGCATGTGGAAGACTCTGGAGACCCACAGCAATAAGACAAACACTGTGCTAAAAGTCTTGAAGCCAGATACCACCTATCAGGTTAAGGTCCAGGTTCAGTGTCTCAGCAAGGTGCACAACACCAATGACTTTGTGACGCTGAGGACTCCAGAGGGGCGTAAGTGTTGAATTTATCTTTATGACATGTGTAAGACCTTAGTTTCCCAAGGATGCTCAAGAGTTGGTCAACACTCTGTCTTACACCTGTTGAAGTATGTGGCTAAGTTTTATGATCTCTCCTCATTAGGAGAGAGTGTTCTTGTACCTTAAGTTAATTTCAGAGTCTTTCCACCATTGCCTGCTCTTTGTATTCTATCTTCCTTCTCTAGATGCTTCCTAGTACTTGGTACTTCAGAGCCACCATTTACAAATGAGGCACATCAATAGTTCTGGGCTAAGTTTTGATGAAATATAACAAATTCATGTGTCTTAAGAGAGTCCCCTCCTTTCTCCTCCCTTCAAAGCAGTCGACAGAGGTGACTGTCTACTTAGTGTCGTCATTTTCCCATCGGCTTGAAACATCTTGAACATACTGTCCCAGAACTCACTAAGGTGGTGCTCTGGAGACGATCACACTCATTTGGACCTAGAATTTCTGTGATGCTGGAAAATTCGTCTTATTCCTTGGAAGTGTGCCCATGATTTCTGTTTTGTGCAATGATAGGTCAAGGCAGCAGAGGCTGTTGTTGACAATTAAGAGCTCAACACTGAAGTCTAGGGGCAGTGGTGACCCAGCCTGCCCAAGTGAGTCTAGCCTGCAGACTGTGTGACCCACACGATTACATCAGATCAACTAAGCTGTTACCCACTGCAGGTATAGCACTCCTTGCTTTCTGCAAGAAGCAAAAATGGTGTCTTGTCAATGTGGAGATCACACCACCAATCTTCTTAATGGCTAGGTTCAAATGCTAGCTCTAGATTCTTTCTTGCCCTTGTCTTAAGCTCAGGAATGAATCTCTAGTTGACCTCAAGTGAACTTCTTCTTTTTTTTTTTTTTTTTTGGTGGTTCTGGGGTTTGAACTTAAGATGTTGTACTGCCAGACTGTGATTCTCCTATTTATACTTTCTGCACAGCTGGGATGACAAGCATGTACCACATGCTGAGCTTGGTTTTATTGGTTGAGATAGGGTCTTGCAGACTTTTTACCCAGGCTGGCCTCAAACTGTGACCCTCTCGATCTCCATCTCCTGAATAGCTGGGATGACAGCTGGGAGCACAGCAAGTTGATTCCTTTTTAAAATTTTTAGTATTTGTTAAATTTTTAAACAGCACATAATTTTACATATTTATGGGGTACAGTATGACACTTCAGTACATGAATACAATGTGTAATCAGATCATGTGGTATATCTGTCATGTCTGAATATATTGTTTCTTTGTGTTAGACACATTCA